ACACACACACACACACACACACACACACACACACACACACACACACAGACACACACAAACTACATAGATATGTACACAACATTTCATGTTTCTCTGAACCACTTTCATTAGCACTGGAAATAGAAACCAGTAGGGCCAAAACTGAGGGCTCAAATTGCATCTGTACGTGTCCACTCAAACTCTCACGGGCACCCCTTGGTAACTTGCAAAGCACTGATAATCATTCTACCTTGTAGCAGATGTGAAAATGAGAGCAATGCCCAGTGCAGTGGGGAGTTCTAAGTAACTGCTTCCAGGATGGGCACAGAGGCACGGTATCCTGGTTGATTTTTGTCAACTTGACACAAACCTAGACTGATCCTAGACTGGATAAAAGAGAAGGCAGCACTCACTGCTCTCTGCTTCCTGGCTTCGGTTTTGCTGTGATTATCGGTCATGGCCCTGGCACTGTGCTCTCTTCACCATCAAGAGCTGCACTCTCAAAGAGTCAGGGAGCCCAACCTTTTGTCCCACAGGTTGTCTGCATCAGGTGTTTTGTCACAGTAACTGGAAAAGCTGCTGATGTACCAGCTTAAACCAAGTTCCCAGGAAGCAGGGACCACTTCCCAAATTTTTTGGCTTCAGTTTAGGGTCACAACTATGATTTGTTCTAGAATTTTTAAGGCTCCTTTTGAAGTCTGGAGGAGGTGCTAGAGGTTAGAGCAGCCTGAGATGTACTCAGTTCTGCATTTCTGCTCATAGGCACTTGGGTAATAATTGAGCTTTTTCTGTGACTTCTTCATCACCAGCCCTCTGCCCCTTTCAACTAGAGACCACCCCATGCTCCTTAGTGTTGTTTTTGTAAAGAAGGTTTCCTCTCACCAACGTAACAAGGTTGGTTGCTGCAGGTCCTGACAGTTTCTGGATGGACAGCAAGGAGTGGCTTGGCATGTACAAACGAGCAGATAGAGTTGAGAATGGCTGGAAGCTGGTGCCAGCTCTGCCAGCTGTTTCCCTGGGAAAGCTAAGGCAAGCAATGTCACGTTAATGTGGCTTGTCCCCTAATAATGCCCTTGAGGCTGCAAACAGCTTGTAAATAGCGAGCAGAACACATTAGCTCCACGTGGAAAGTGATTCAATTACTCTCCCCTATTAAGCCGGCTGTTCCTGAAAGGCTGAGATCCACCAATCCCTGCTGGAGAGCCATCAGGTCTTACTGTCTTCTAGCTTTCTTGGCATGAGTCCCAATTAGGTGACTACAGATCTTATGTTGCCGCCCATCTGTGAGATACCTAGATGCTGGGGTCTCTCTGGATGAGATTCAGGGGAAGACTCCTGCTGTAGCAATCTCTTCCCCAGCCAGGTGAGAAATCAATCAGCCAGCTCATACCTCCGTTCCTCACCTTGTGCAATGGCTTGCAGTGAACATTCATATACAAGTCTTGGAGTGACTCCTCCTGCCCGCCTCTGTCAGACAAGGTGTGCTAGTGGGAAGGGGCTGCCACAACAGGGCTGTCTTCTCTAAAGTCTGACCCCTCTACTAGTCACAAACAAAGCACATCCTCTACCACATATCTTCTTATCCTGTCTCCTTTCTGGGAATCCTGCATCAGAAGAGGTGGTCAATGCTGCATTGTCTAGTCATCCTCAGACATAACTCTGAAAGGCAAAGCCACCTGTGTGCCTAGTCACTCCTCTTTGTTCGCCTTCTGAATTCTGAAGACTTTCCTTTTGTTGAAAAGGAGCTTGGGCTCCTTGAGTCAGTATTGAGTATGGGCTCCTTGACTCAAAGCTTGAGCTTTGAGTCAGTATTCACTTGAGCCAGGCATTTTATTCAGCAGCTACTGCCATGAATCTCTTCACAGCAGTTCTGACTGGTGTGAGCAAGCCAAGGGTGTCTGTTCCCCCAGAGGAGACAGCCAATGAATGAAAGCATAGGCATAGGGATGGAAGTCCACAGCTGACCTATGCTTGCTGACAAAGTCTTCCTCCATCTTTTAGCTAAATCTACAGTACATTTATGCTTTCTCACGCACAGGAAAAGGCATGGCTTGATGCTCATAGAAAGACCTGTCAGGGTGTACCAACACAGATTACATTGACCAGGATAATCCAGGCCAGAGCAAGGATGTGGGAAGAGCAGAAGTTTCTAAGTCAGACAATGAAAAAGGATGGTGCTGGTCAGCCAGAACAATTCCCCCAAACCCTTCAACAAGATTGCTTTCGTCTAAGAGTGGTAGCGCATCTCAAACAGGATCTTACGGGGAAAGGCCATAAGCAATAGTGAAGTCGGCATGAATCATGTGAAGTTTGGGTGTAAACAATTTTGAAAAGATTGAACAAATACTTTATTAAAAAGTTGATTTCTTTTCAAGTACTGAAGCAATTAATTCATTTAAGATAATCTCCTAATAAGATTCTCAAGTTCCTGGAGGGCAGAAATTGTTTTCTTTCGAAGTCCTATTATTTATGAAAAATACTCAGGGTGTCACGATGACTCATAGAAAGGCTAAGGTTTTATTATTTTTTTTGCCCTAGTTAAATAAATTAATAGTGTACTGGAAAATACCAAGGATGATATTTCCAAGACCTTCAAGGAAGAAGATGTATTTAAGAGCATGAGAAGCATGAATTGGAAGAGTAACTGATACAGTGTCAGTAAGCAATCTCCAGCAATGCTTGGAAGAGATCATCCAGGAACCAGGATGAACACCATCTTATTACTTTAATAAACGCCACAGAAACAGCAGAACAACAATGTGGTGCCAGACTCAATGGTGTGCGCTCCGCGCTTCTTGTAAGAATCCTGTAAGTTTAACTTGACAATTGTCTGTCTCCTAGATAAAGAAATGGGTACCAGGTTATATGAATCTGCAATGGAGAAGGCTGGAGAAAGAACCAAAAGACAAGAAAGCTAGGGGAGAAGGGGAAGTGGGCACGGCCGTAGAGCACTGATGTTCATCACCAGTGAAGGGAAGAAACAGGTGGAACTTGGTAGTGAGGTCAGCCAAATATCAGCAAGGAGACATCTGCTCTTTGCAGGAGAATAAAATGATGGTCTGTTGCCTGTTCTCTCAGTCTGCTTTGTCTTCAAGGGACGAGAGATGCAGTAATACTTGGACAAGAATATCCCTTAGCCAAGGGAGGAGCAGTCCTGTTAGGCCACAGAGGAGGACTTTGCAGCCAGTCCTGAAGATACCTGATAAAACAGGATCAGATGAATGGGGAGGAGGTCCCCCCCTATCAGTGGACTTGGAAAGGGGCACGGTGGAGATGAGGGAGGAGGGTGGGATTGGGAGGGAATGAGGAAGCGGGATACAGCTGGGATACAGAGTTAATAAAATGTAACTGATAAGAAAAAAATAAAATTAAAAAAAAAGAAACTGAAAAAAAAAGAATATCCCTTAGATGAGGAAATGTAGAATTTTACAACTTTTGTTCTCTGTTTTTCTCTTTTTCTTACTTTTGTTGGTGTATTTTTTTTTGTATATACCTATTGGTTTCATTGTAGAGTTTCATTGAAGTGTATCATGTATTTTGGACCCTCCTCTTTCTCCCCGTCCCATTCCACTCACCTTCTTCTTTCTCAAATGAAGATTTCTATCTGACACAAGAAAAATACTTAGTCACTGCTTTAGTTGCCTTTCTGTTGCTGTGATAAAAAAAAATATCCTGACCAAAGAAATTTTAAGACAGAAGGTCTGTTATATACAACTCACACTTCTGAGGCATATCCTGTTATGGTAGGGAAGGGGACTGTGGCAGAAGCTTGAAGCCACGGGCCACATTCCATTCCCAGTCAGGATGAAAGTGACGTAAATGCTGGGTTCAGCTCACTTTCTCCTTCTTATTTGGTTCGGGACTACAGTCCATGAAACGATGCCACCCACAGTTGGGGTGCATCTCCTCACCTCAATCTAGTCCAGAAACTCCCTCACAGGTCTGCCTAGGTTTGTCTCCACGATTCTGTCTAGTTGGCAATGTTAACCATCACAATCAGATCAATTATCATTTGAGAGTATTGTTCCCGTGTTATTATTAGTTGCATTGAAAGCACTGAGCGTTTGGCTCACGGGTCAGCACAGGATCCCTGTGGGGTAAGGGATGAGATGCAGAGCTATGTGCCAGGTGGGGATGTGTTCTGACACATGTGAAGCTAGGTGATTTCATCCTCCTGGAACCTCACAGCATGCCCTTACATAAGTGCAGACGGTGTAGCCCCTCTACACTTTGCCTGCAGTAGTCCTGATGACTCAGGACAATAAAGAAGGTAGGAGATTCCCTGATGGTTGCCAACTCACCAAGCACAGAGGCTACGTTTGCACCTGAACTTTACCTCTTTAGCAACATACGTTTTACACTGTGAGATGCAGACTCCACCCTCAGTGTCTGCCATGTTCTGCAGGACACAGTGTCTATGTGCAGAAGCCAATGCTTTGGAAATGAAGGCGGTTGGACAGGAGAGTCTCCATGCCCCCAGGAAGTTGAGACCTCCATGGGAAGAACAAGTGAGGACTAAGTTTTCCTCCCTTTGCAGCTCAACACATAATTACAGACTTAAAAAAGTGTTCATTGTTGCACACAGGAAAGATAAGTTGCTCACAGCTGAAATGTGAAGATTGAGCTCTCAGAAGAGGGAGGGAGGGAGGGAGGGAGGTCAGGGTGGCCAGGTTTGCTCTTCAACTGATATCAAACACCCACACCCTGCTTGTGAGCTCAGCAACAGAGACAGCTGACATCAAGTGGCCTCTTGGTTGAGAAGTGGTTTGCGGCAGGTTAGGTCCTGATTGGAGTGTGTTTCCTCTTTCTCTGTCTTCCTGGGGGGGGGGGGGCAGGGGATCACAGGCCTGCTAATCACGTCTTTCAGGTCTTCAAAGCGCCTTTCTCCAGGACCAGCCACCTTGTTCAGGTACCGCGTTCTGTGCTTCCTTACAAGGAAGGGGCGGAGCCCGGCAACCCTCTGCGCAGCACTGCCAGGAAAAGAGAGCCACCTGTACCTCCTAGGAAAGTCCTGGATCTGGATAAGGTGTGGAGAGAGCCCTGCAGACCACTGGGTGCTGAGAGAAGCCGTGGTGTGGTGAGAACAGGCCTTGCAATTGTCAGCCACCGAGGCCCTCTGCTTTACAAAGGACTAAATACTTTAGAAAGGGCAGTGTCCACTCACTAGCAATACTTTCTAAACGGCCAGTTTACCACAGCTGAGCACCAGAATCCATTGTCAGATCATGGCTCCCAACTAGTAACCAGAAACTCAGGGTGAATTGCTGACAAGGCTATGGGTGATGAACATTGCTGTGCATTCCTGAACGCTGTTTGAAAGGAGAAGATGATAATAGAATGCTCAGAGGGAAGTGTCATTCTCTAGGCTCTAATGCTGGGGACTGTATAGCGGCGGTGGTAGCAAGAAACCCATGTTTATAGGCAGTGTGTGTGTGTAGACCAAAGCTTGGCATCAGTGTCCTCGAGTGCTTTCCACTTTACAAATGGGGGCAAGGCATCTTGCTGAACTTGGAGCTCATTGTTTTCAGCTAGTCTGGCTGACTAGCTTGCTTCAAGGATCCTGTCTGCTCCCGGAGTGTTGGCACTGCAGGGAGGCCACCATGCCCACCCAGTGTTTATGTGGGTGCTGGAGATCTGACCCCTATTATTCTCACCTTTGCACATCACACACATTCCTCAGGGAGCCATGTACCCCAGCCCTTGAGGTGGTCCAGGACAGACCGAGGAGGTACTGAGAGGGAAAGGTGAGCACAGTTTTAGAGGCGGCGGTGCCGCTTAGGCTGCTGAGGGAGGGCAGCCACCCAGCAGCCAGAGCAGGCATGCTTCCATGGACAGCTCGAGATAGTCTGTGAACTTTTATTGCCCCCGGGAAGCATAACGTGAGGTGACAAGCTACAGTGGACAAGGCTCTGGCTTACAGAAAAGAGAGACATGTGCCTGACTGTCCTCTCAGTGCTCAGTTCCCCAAGACTCATCTGCTTTGCTCCAGGGAACTCAGCACACAACAGCAGGAGGCTGCCCCACAGTGGAACTGGTCTCCTGACCTCAGTAAGGAGTCCCCTGGTCTCCTGGGAAGCATGCTAGAATCTCAGGTGGGCTATGCATCTTGGTTACTGAAAATATATGTTCTGTATATACATAGCCTGAATTTCATGAAGCTGATGATGGTTGATATTGACCGTCAGCTGGCAAGATCTAAAACACCCAGGAAACAAGCCTCTGGGTGGGACATAGATGGTTTTAGGCTGAACTAACTGATGTGGGAAGGCCCACTTTAAATGTGAGCAGCACCAACCTATGGGTTGATTCCTAGACTAAATTTAAAAAAAAAAAATTGAGCTGAGACCCAGCACTCACCTCTTCCTGCTTTCTGACAATGTGACCACTTGTGTCATGTTCCTGCTGCTATGCCCCCCTCGACACAATGGGCTGCACCCTCAAATCCTGAACCAAAACAAACCTTTCCTTCCTTATGTTGCTTTTCCCAGGATTTTTTTCACAGCAGTGGAACCATAACTAATACAGTATCGACAGACTGAGGGAACAGATGAGCACAAAAAGTCTGAGATAAATCGCTCTTGACGTAAATAGAAGCTCAGCTTTGAAATGACTAATAAAGAGAGAATAGGTGCTAACTTTTCAAAGCAATGAAGGTTATCATAATGTTTTGAAAGACCCCTTTACCATGGTCGTTTAGTTTAAGACAACACGACATTAAAAAAAATGGTTGTCACCAACAAAGCCAACAGTCATACAAACAAGGCTGCGTATATAACACATAGTGAGTACTTGTCTAGCAGGGATGCCATTCCTTGGTCCATTCCTAGCACCTCAAAAAAAAAAGAACGAGAGAAAGAAAACACTGGCTAAATTGCATGACTGTCGAAGCCGCCAGTGTGGCAGAAATAAACAGTCCCGATGGCGTGTTAACTTGTTTCTCTAGGCCTGGACTCCAGCATGAGCAGTGGGGTCTAGGAAGAAAAGGATGAAGCACCAGCAATGCTACATGCTCCCCTTTCCTGGCTGCACACTTGGGCCAGGAAGGTTTCCTGAGGACTGTGGGGAGCACAGAGTGGGGCAATCTCAGGTGGCACGAAAAAAGTCTCATCTTCCTCAGGCAAGGAGTGGCCACTTCCTCATCTGCAACAGCCTAAGGGCTGAACAGGAAGGCTCAGCATGCAGGTGCTACTCTGGCCACCCAGCATGTCCAGGAGGGAAGTATGAGGCCCTGGGGGGCTGGGCACCTGCTCCACAGGGACAAAGCCTGGGGCAGCTGAACTCTGTTCAGGAAATGTTTGAGGATGCTATGTCATGGCAATGTGGGACATATACATACATACATACATACGTACATACATATATATGTATACACACATATGTGGGTGTGTATCACACTTTTCTTACAGTAACTTACTCTTTGCTATTATGGGCTTGTTTTCCAAAGCTGCAATGATGTCTTGAAAAGTTATTCTGGGAAACGCAAGCCTTGGTGACTGGTGCCTGTGTGAGGTTAATGGTGTTAATCCTTAATGATGTTAGGTTTCCCACAGGATGACTAAAAACTCACTTCACTTCCGGCTTCCTTTATAGATAAATAGCCTCAGGACCCTCTTTCCCCAGGATATTTATAATTATTTAGTAAGACTGGCTTTTGCAAATAGCCTGGCATCTTAGAAAGGCGCTTTAAAGCCTCTCCATTATTTCCACACCATTTCCCATTTTAGTTGGCCCTAACATGCAAAAAAAGAATTACAAACTTAGCCAGGGTGTCACTGAGGTCCCCCTCAGGCTTGCCTGGTCAGTACATGTCAGTACCCTGTCAGGAGGTGAGTTTTCACACCCCGTGCTCTGGTTTTGTTGCCCTGCAGGGAAAAGTTGAAATGAGAATAGATTGGAGTGAAAAAGTATTTTCAGGACTGCCACCGGATTTAGCCAAATCATCGCTTAAGTTCTCCCAGTGAGTCCCACAGTTTCCCTGTCTTCATTCAGAGAAGCTGGTAGTGACACTTCCTTGACTGCTGTGTCTAAATTGGCATCTTAATTGGAGCGTCCAGTGACTAGATGAATTTTTGACACAAAGCTTAACAGAATGTTAACTCGAATCTATCCATCGCTCACATCCATACCTTGTCCAGGCACTCTCCCACCAAGGACTTTTAACTTACCTACCATTTGCGGCTAGAGGCGTGGTCCAGAAGAACTTCGCACCCGGAAACCAGAACTTCCCCTAACTTCTTTAAAGAACCAAAGTTTGGAACCAGGATGGAATGAATGGATAGAGACGCTGGCCATTGAGGATAGAAAAAGGGACTCGTGGGTGCAGCGCGTGTGGTGTGTGTGTTAAGGATCTACGGTTCGGGGTTCGAACCAGTGGCAGGGCACACAAGGAAGCTGGCACTCACCTGCGTTCCGCAGCTTGCGGTTCCTGAGCACAGAGAGGATGACAAGGAGGTTCCCCACAAAGTCCACGGCTGTGGTGACAACGACTACCGTAGATAGCGCGGGAGCCACCCAGGGTGCTCGGGGAGTCCCGGAGGGCCCCGCTCCCGCTGCCGCCTGGTACCAACCCGGGCGCACTGCCAGCCCGCCGGCCTCGCAGCAGTTGGCGACAGAGCTGTTCACAGGCATCATGACACTGCCGCCTGGGGTAGCTGCACAAGGTGCGCGCTGCGCGGCGGCTTGGTGCGCTCCCGCCGCCCCCTCCCTGCCCGGGGAGTGCTAGGAAGAGGCTGTGGGGAGGGACCTAGAGGAGACAATTAATTGAACGTGGGCAGAGGGGCTGGGAGAAATAAAGGATCCAGACGCGGACCGGAGCTCAGCTGTTGCAGAGGGGGAATGCATCCCTCAGCAGCAAACCCAGGAACAGCGCTACAGCACCTAGGGCTGCCTCCAGAGATTAGCCAGTATCTGGCCCACCTTAGGTGGACAGCCAGTGTCTGGCCCATCTTGGGTGGCCTAGTTGGTAAATCCTGTGTCCCCCCAAAAAACCCAGGAATCACTGGATCCTTTGTAGAGAAGCTGTGTCCGTTTGGGTACACCCTGCTTTGCGGACTGGAGGAGGTGTTGGTTCATTACAGCTGTCTGCTGGTCAGAAGGGCGGGGTTTGAGGCTCTTACTACTGGGTGGTGCGGCTCGGCTCTGAGGAGCTTGTGACTCCTGGGGAGTGGGGCTCAACCCCAGAGCTAAGTAGCCAACAGGGTTGCTGCGCTCTGGGGGGTGGGGGTGGGGGTGCGTGTGACAGGGGAGGGATCCCCTAGCCACCTGCAGTGTATTGTGAAGGGCCTTGAGGTCAGTGCTGGAAAATCATTCTTTTTTTAGACATACATGTGTGTAGACATTGACTTAAGAATGTCACTTGTATGGGTACCTGGTCCATGCTGGAGGTTATTACAATGTGGATTTGGGGAGGCCAAGAAGATCAGAGAAGCATGAGCACGGGATGGAGTGGCACGGGCCTCGCTGGTGCCATTGTTCTTGGCCCCGCTAGAACCACTAACCTGAGTAAACCCGATTCTGGCAAGAGTGTAAATGGAATCTCACACTGCCTCAAGGACAAGCAAATGGTGTTTTAAGAGAGGCGCCCGTGGCTTCCTTACACTGTTAAACCTATGCCCACCCATCAAAGGATGGGCATTTGAGATGAAGCAGAAATTCAGAGTGAAACTCAGTAGGAAAACAAAAGACCGGCTCCTCCAAACCGCTAACCCCTCATTCACCACAGCAGCTTTGTGAGTTTTAGCCGGAACCCAAGCGGAGCAGACCTGTATCAGCATAAGAGTGGGTGAATCAACTTCATACAAAGGGGTAAAAAGTGCTTATAAACACATCAGCAAGGACAAATCCCAAAATACCACGTGAAGCCAGAAGTGTGACCTATTATCTACCCAATACAACCCCCCCACATGTATATGTGTTCTAAATGGAATAACAGAAGGCAGAATTATCCAAATACTGTGTATCCAAAAAGGACAAAGTGTTTGGCTCAATTTATGAAGCCTAAAGTTCATCTGTGGTGCTAGAACTCAGAACTAGCTTTAGGTTTAGCTAAGTAATTAAATAACTTGGCAGCTCTAGGGCTCCCGTTCTTGTAATGAAAGGCACATGCTCTACAGCCAAGCTACATCCTCAGCTGGAATGCTGCTTTCCTACATTTGACTTTATGTAAGCCTTGCTCTTCCCAGAAATCAACACAAGAAAGGACGGAGTGGTGGGAGGGGCTGATATAGCAGGAGGAGTGGTCTGACAATAGGGACACGCCCTGGTGAGAGCTTGTGCCCTTCCTTCCAGGGAGGGAAGCTATTGTGAGGAGATGGGGCTTCTCCTCTGGGCAGAGAGAAGGGGAAAGCCAGGTGCAAATTCAGAAGGGCTTCTAAACTGCATGAACAGTGTGGGCTCCTCTCAGATCCTGTGTTCTTGGGGGGGGGGGGGAAGTTTGAGGCTGTCTCATAAACCAGGCTTGGGGAATTTGAAGTTTGGGATTTGAAGACAGGAGAAGGTCTGAAGTGGCATTTCAGAGAGTGAGAACTCTCCCTAGGAGGCCCAGCAGACATTTCAGGAGCACGAGTGTCCCTGTGCATGACTTCAAACTGAACCAGCCACTTGGGAGTGTCAGTCTGCAAGCCAGAGCTACTCAGCACAGGGGGAGGGGTGGCAAGGACTGCTCTAGCTGGAGATGTAAAATCACAGGAGAGGTCATGCCAAGTCCAAAGACTTGTGCAGACTAGTTTTACTTTTAAAAGTATGATTATGAGAAAGCAAGTGCTTAGAGAAGAGCTGTCCCCTCACTTTCTGTCTTGGTGGGGTTGAACTCAGGGCCTTGTGCCTGTAAGCATGGCTACCTCACTGAGCTATGCCCCAGGCTGAAAAGCAGATTTCTGAGGTGTGTAGGCTCTTGTTAGGAAGGGTCTGAGGATGCTTATGGAGTTGGTCCCTGGGAAAAGGCAGGCAAAAATGGCCTCCGAGATAGGAAAGTCTGGAAGCGGGATGTAATTTAGCGGGGCAGTTCTAGCAGGCCTGAGGCTCAGGGCAGGGTAGCACTGGGTAAAGAGGAAGAAAATGAAGAGGAAAGAGGAGGAGGGGGAGGGAGAGAAGAGAGAAGAGAAGAATGAGAAAAGAAAAATGAAGAAAGAAGAAGGAGTAGGGGATGGGGCAGAGGGGGAGAAAGGAAAGTGAAGAGGAGGAGGCAGGAAAATGAGATACAGCTGGAACAGACAGAGTGAAGTCCACTTTCACCGGAAGAGGCAATGGATAATATCCCTCTCTTCCACAGGCAGGCATACCATGAGATTCCTCTGGCTTTTAGCAGGACTCACAGCACAAGACAAGTGGAATGTGAGGTATGCTGCCTCCGTTCAAACATACTCTAATAATGACGTTTGGCTAATGGACTGTGAAGTGCAGGATTCGGCCCTGTGCTGTCCTGCAATGTAATCTTCTGCCTTGCCTGCCTGCACAGCAGTGCATGTTAAAACCTTTGGGATTGGGGTCCTTGAAGCCAGTGCTATATTCTGACACCGCTGCCTTTTCTGGGTCTTGAAGGTACAGGGCAACTGTAAGGTCAATTTAAAAGTGAAAACTAAATACACTTCTATGCTCCAGCAGTTTTTATTCATATCATTAAAAAAATATATTTGTTCCCCATTTTTATTTATGTGTTTGTGTGTGAAACTGAGGGGGTTTGTACCACATGTGTACAAGTTCAGGGAGGTCAAAGGGTGTTGAAGCTCCTGGAAATGGAGTTACAGGTATCTGTGAGCTATCTGGTGTGGGTGCCGGGAAATGAACCCAGGTCCTCTGGAGGATCAGTAAGCACTCCTAAGAATCAAACCACTCCCCACCCCCTCACCCCCAGTTTTCTCTTTTCTATTTACCTGAGTGTTTTGATAACTTCACAAAGACAAGTGTGGTTGGTTGCATGCTCCTATAATCCTGTCACTTCTGAAGCTGGGGCATGAAATAGGTGAGTTTGAGGCTAGCCTGGGCTACAGGGTAAGACTTTGCCTCAAAACAAAACAAAACAAAACAAAACAAAACAAAACAAAACAAAACACCCAAACCACAATTCCCCACCCCTTCACAAAGATGGTAGCTTAGTTACTGTTCTGTTGCTGCGCTGAAACATTGTGACTGTCTTGGTTAGGGTTACCATTGCTGTGCTGAAACACCATGACCAAATGCAAGTTGAGAGGAAAGTGGGTTTTTTGCTTACACTTCCACACTGTAGTCTATCACTGAAGGAAGAAGTCAGGACAGGAACTGAAACAGGGCAGGAACCTGGAGGCAGGAGCTGATACAGAGGCCATGGAGGGGTGCTGCTTATTGGCTTGCTCAGCCTGCTTTCTTATAGAACTCAGGACAACCAGCCCAGGACTGGCCCCACCCGGAATGGACTGGGCCTCGCCCATCAATCAGAAAATGCTCTATAGGTAGATCTTACGAAGGCGTTTTCTCAATTCCCTTCCTTCAGATGATTCCAGCCTGTGTCAACCTGGCATAAAACTAGCCAGCACAACAAATGACTTATAAAAGAAACATTTAATAGCTTCAGGGAGATTAGACCATAATCATCGAGGCAGAGAGAGAAAGCAACAGGTAGGCATGGTGCTAGAGAGCTCACATCTGATCTGTGAAGTTGTAAGGGACCAGGGCAGGGAAGACTGAACCTGATGTGGGCTTTTGAAACCTGAAGTCCACTCTCCAGTCACATACCTCCTCCAAGGCTTCCTAAACCTTCTCCAACAGTTCCTAACTGTGAACTAAGAAGATCAGTGATTGCTTGGAGTTGGTGAAAGGATGAGTAGGCAGTGCACAGAGGATCTTTAGGTCACACTGAGGCTCTTCTGCATGTCATGGAGGGGATGATAGCAATCTATTTCCATTCCACGACAGTGGACTCTGTCCGTAGCACATGTACCAAAGGCAAACCCCGAGGTAAACTATAGAGTTAAGGTGACAAGGATGTATCAGTGTGGTGTCACAGATAGTGCCAAATGTTGTAAAAATCTGAAGGGGAAGTTGTATGTTTATGGGGACAAAGGGTCTGTGAAAATTACTCATGATTTTTTTTTGTTTGTTTAATTTCACTGTGATTCTAAAATAAAGCTCTTTCCAAAAGAAGGATTTTGGCTGGGAGAGTGATTTTTCCCCCAAGCTCGTGCACCCTCAACCCAATAGAATTGAGCCAAACATCAATAAAACTAGCTAAAGTAGATCCAGAGGAGCAGTCCTGACAGGAAGTGGAGCTATGGCATCCAAATAATGTCAGGGCCTGGGCTAGAGAAATGGGCAGAAAACTGGGCCAGAGAGTCCTCCAGAATGCAGCTGAGGTTATAGACTCACCCCAAGCACTGGGAATCATTAGATATCCACAGCCTGTTCTAAAGTCAAGACTCTTGTCAGCATCTTCTCTGCTGTGGTTTGGGCTTGTGTGGAGTATGCATGCCCTAGTCTGCTGTTAGAAGGTGTGCTCTGAGCAGCTTGCTTCCTAGAGTGGAGATGGTCATGGGTGGCAGAACCATGAAGAACTATGGGGCCTCAGGAGAGCTGCTGAGGCTGGTGACAACACAGAAGCCCTTACAAGAGACTAAGAGTAGGTCTCCTGAGACTAAAGTCCCGCTCTTGTTTCCTATGACACCGAGTGATCTAACCCTTCCATGTTTTTGCCTGCCACTACGATGCCATGTGCCACAAGGCCTTCACCAGAGCCAAGCTGATGCTGAAGCCATGTCTGTGAACTTCTAGAAATATGACCCAAAGAAACATCCTATTTCTCTAGTACTCAGCTTTGTAGATTCCATTAGAGTGACAGAAAACAGACTGTTTGCTTTTCAACTGTCAGAAGCAGCTTCTCATTAACAGATGGGGGGCACTTCCCTGGCGGAGTTGACTACTGAGCAAGTCTCCTTGATCTTAAAAATTTTTTTTTTTGGTTTTATTTTAAATTATGTGTATATATATCAATGTTTGTGTGTGCGAATGTGCATGTGTAAGTGCATGTGCCTGTAGAGTTCAGAAGAGGAAGTGGGATCCTGGGGAGCTGAAGCTACAGCACTTGTGAGGCAGCTGCCACAGGTGCTGGGAACGAAGCTTGGGTCTCCTGGATGAGCAGTAAGTGCTCCTAACTGCCGAGCCATCTCATTACTGGTGTTTGTTATTCCAGTTTCTAGCTTGGGTGCCTCAACAAATAAGTTTGAAGGATCTCTTTTTTATTTATATAAAGATGTACTATACATGTTATAAAAATTTATATGTATATTATTTTACATAATTAATTTACAAATTATGTATATAACTTTAAATCACTTAATCTTTTTGTTCTATTAAAAATAAAGGCAGTTTAGAGTTTACTAGAAGAACATTACTTAAAAAGAAACTTTAATTCAAAAATTGTAAATAGTGCTCGCTTCGGCAGCCTATATACTAAAATTGGAACGATACAGAGAAGATTAGCATGGCCTCTGCGCAAGGATGACACATAAATTCGTGAAGTGTTCCATATTTTTCAAATGGGATGGACATTGGATGTAGGAGCAAACAAGTAGCAGGACAGGACCCTACCACAGAGGGCCTCTGAAAGACTCTACCTAGCAGTTGTATCAAAGCAGATATTAAGACTCATAATCCAATCTTTGGCAGAGTGCAGGGAATCATATGAAAGAAGGAGGAGTTAATATGACCTGGAGAGAACAGGAGCTCCACAAGGACCAAATATATCTGGGCACAGGGGTCTTTATGAGACTGTTTCTCCAACCAAGGACCATGTATGGATGTAACCTAGAACATCTGCTCAGATGTAGCCCTTGATAGCTCAGTATCCAAGTGGGTATCCTAATAAGGGGAATGGGGACTATTTCTGACATGATCTCAATGGTGGGCTCTTTGACACCCCCCATCCCCGAGGAAGGAGCAGCCCTGCTAGGCCACAGAGGAGGACTTTGCAGCCAGTCCTGAAGATACCTGATAAACCAGTATCAGATGAAAGGGGAGGAGGTTCTCCCCTATCAGTGGACTTGGAAAGGGGCAGGAAGGAGATGAGGGATGGAGGGTGAGATTGGAAGGGAAAGAGGGAGTGGGATACATCAGAGATACAAAGTTAACAAACTGTAACTAATATTAAAAAATAAAAATTAAATTAAAAAAATTGTAAATAGGAAACTTGAAGAAAAAGGGCTACATGAGGACTGTGATAATTCTGACTCCAACAGGGGAAAACTTAATGCAATGCTGCTGTCTACCTCAGTTAAACCTCTCTGGAAGCACCCTCACAGTGCATCCAGAGATGTGTTTCTATGGTGATTCTAAATCCCAGCAAGCTGACAATGCAGATGAATTCTTAAGGGAAGTGTCTGCACTCCCCTCTACAGGTCCAATTTTAGCCTCTCTCCAGGGCCTCTGCAGCGATGTCACCAACAGACCAAGCCTTTTTCCTGTTAGTGTGAAGGACCATGGTTTAATACCTTTGCACTGGGCTTCCCAGAGCCAAGAAACCATTCTAGATTCTCCCTGTGGCTTCTCCAGCACAGATATTTTCCTGTTCTAGTCCAGCAACTTTTCCAGGCCACAAAGCCAGGATGAATGCTTCATCACAGAGATTTGAGCTAGTCTGATATGTGAAGTAGCCTCCTGTCAAAAACATCTCATGGGAATGACTAGTGGGATTGCCCCAAGTACCACTAGATGAGCTTAGAGTATCCCTGAAGAAGAACATGGACTAGCCATAGAAAACCAGCCAGGTTGCAGTGTTAGCTACAACCTGGGGACACCAGCAGAAGGTGGGTCTGTCTACGATTTGGTTCGTGTGTTAACTTAGCTTTTGCATTGTCCATTCTATTTTGGGAAGCTGCAGGTTTTAGAATGTAGGACTTGGCCGCAGGGTTTTGGGTACTGGGTGTACGACCTTTGAGGTTGTGTTTTTACCCTGGTCTCTCTGAAGGGGTAAGTTCCCGCAAGCACGTGTCTTCAAGCAGCAGTCTGTCCTGGCCTCTCTCTCTCTTGTTCCTTTTCCCCTTTGTCACATACTCTCATCCCCAGGATGCCAGCCCAAGTTTAGAGGGCACATGGTAGCCTTGTGTTTGCTGGAGAGCCAAGGATGACCTGAAGTCCTGATCCTCCTGCCGTCAACTTCCAGGATTGTAGGCATGCACCACCATGTCTGGTTCCTGAGGTTCTGGGAATCAAATCCTGGGCTTTGTGCATGCTAGGCAACTGAGCTCTGTTTCTCTCCAAACAGTGTATTTGAATAGCAGATTCCCTCTTTTTCTTTCAGGACATTTTAATTGAAATTGATGTCACTTTCCCAACTTTCTTCCTTCCAACCCCTCTCACACATTCTCCAGTTTCTCTTTGATTTTATTGTGATACACACACACACACACACACACACACACACACACGTACATGCTTGTATATGTATGCATAAATATATATAAATACAACCTGCTGAGTTCATTTTGTTGATTGTGTGTATGTGGTTTCAGGGCTGACCACCTTGCAAGGGACAACTAATAAGGTAGCTTTTCTCTGGGAAAGGCTAATTCTACCCCCAGCAGTCATTAGGGGTCTATAGCTCTTTGTCTAGAGGCAGTATTCTCCAAACTTTTGAATGGTGGATGCTCTTTACTTTCATGTGGTAACTTATATTTAATTGTATATAAATGCTTTATTCTGATTAAATGGACGAATCATCAAATTTATAAAAAAAACCCCACCTTTTAAAAATAGTTTTTTTCCATTTGATTAGGTAAATCATGTAGGTATAAATATGAAAACATGAGTTATATACCCAAGATAAATTTTTAAAAATTGGCTTCACTCTCAGCCTAGTGCACCTTGACCTTGATGACCTGACATCCCCTAGGGAGGTCAGGGAGGTTGTGTAACCTATCCATGCTATGTCAGCCTCACACCTGCTGTGATCTGAGAGAAAAACCACTTTTCACCCTTATCTGCCTCCTCTGTGATTCGCACATTCCCCTGTCCACACTGTTCCATCTTCTAGCTCACTACCCAACGGTCAAAATGGCCTTATTTAATTCAGCTAGGCACCTCTCATTTGTCAAGAAGAAAGCAGCTTGTTTTTTGAAGATTTTCACATTACTCTGGGCACCTGTTCCCCCTAGTGGTAGCAAAGGAAAATACAACTGAACTCGGAAATGCTCCTATGTTACATACAGGTCTTGCTGGGTTTTGTTCTAATGCTTTGGCTCTCTTCTCCTTTTGTTTCAGATAGAAATGTAACTAATTTTACTTTTAAAAGTATTTTCTTGGAGTCTCAAAGGAGACTGTGGAGTTGGACGTTTGAGCAATGTTAAAACAGTGAAGCTGGAGACTAATTGAACACATTTACATAGCGAGGGATTCTGGAGATCAACATAGGGGTGTTAGCCTTTGGGTCTGGAATGTTCCTCAAGGCCCCGTGTTAGAGATTGGTGGTCTTTATGGTGGCACTGGTTGGAGATGGTGAAATACCTCTCTCTCTCTCTTTGCCTCTCTTTGCTTCTCTGTGCCTCCCTTCCTCTCTTTCTCCTTCTTTCCCTCTTTCCCCCTTTCTCTCTCTCACTTTTCTCTTCTCCGTCTCCTTCCTCTTTCTCCATCCTTCTTCTCCCTCTCCTCTCAGACAAAGACTCTCCTAATGCGTTAAAGCTCCAGTCTCCTTTCACTTTTACTCCTTGGCCATGCTTCCTGCCATTCCTTATCCCTACCAGAGACCTAAATAGCAACTAATCTGCTCAGTCAAGGGCTAGAACCTCCAAAGCTATAAACTCAAATAAACCTTTTATCTTAATTCTGTCAAATATTTCTAACACTAACAAGAAGCTGAGTAACACAATTATCATTTGACTGTTTTGGGAACATTTAGGATACATTACATATTTTTATATGCTTATATATATTTATCTACTTTGAAGAGCCAATTGCGTCACCCTTAGTATCATATGGCATTACTTCTACCAGCCACCTGTCCTCGATATTGTTACCTGTAAAAGCAGGGTCAAACTGGCCCAGAGGCACTGAGGTCCACAATGCCAGTGTGGCACAAGCCACCAGGATATTCTGTGAAAGCTTTTAGTTTGATGAGGCAGGAAGAGAGCGGGCTTTGCGATCCAGCCATCTGGATTATGCCCTTATCTGCCACACAGTGGCTCTCTGCTCTCAGGAGAACGGCATATCTTCCATGGAAGAGTCTTACAATGACATCACAGATTACCATGGTGACCAGCTGTGCTGACTAAGCATAACATGGATACTTAGTGCACAGCCTAGTGGCAGACAGAAGCAAGCCTCATGAATGCCTGGCTGCAGCTTTAATAAACATATTTCAAACAACAAACAAACAAAAAAACAATTGAAAAGAAAAGAAATGGACTCCCCCCAAAAACAAACAAACAAACAAACAAACAAAAAAAACACAACCTAACTTTGGAAGCAGGTCAGCTTGACTCTCAGTAGCTAAGGCCAGGCACTTCACAACTTTGGCCCCCAGTTTATTTTTCAAATAAGGATCAAAATAATAAACCTCTTAGAAAGCGTTGAAGATAAAATGGGTGACGAAAAGAGAGAATCATGGCTGACTTGCACAGTAGTGAGAGTCAGGTCAGCGTCCCTGCACAGCTGCGTGCGTTTATGCTTTCCTCTCACAGTTAGGACACCGAGGTTTAAAGAGGGGCTCCTTCCATCACCACAGGTCCCCTCTATAAGCGGAAGATCTAGGATCCGAGCCTGGGTTACTTCAGACCAGATGCAGTGTCCTCTGCAGTGTTCTCCGTACGAGCATGAGCACGGCACACCTTGTGGTCACTGGTTTTACTCCACAGCTCCTGGTCCCTCCATGGAGGGCAATGTCCATCACACTCCCAAGTTCAAACAGCAAAGACTCTCCAACTAATGACCTGAAGCTCATGAGATGACACACTGATGCTTCCTGGAGAGAGTCAACAATGGATGAATGTTTGAGCCCCATGTCTCTTACATGGTTTCTTTCCAATATAGGTGAATTTCTCAGTTGCCTGGAGATGCTGAAGAGAGGCAGTGCTATTGTTCTGATAACTTACACTGAAAAGCAAAAACAAAAACAAAACGAAAACCCTAAGACAGACTATAGGCCACATCCATAAGGACTGCCAGATCCACACAACTTAGAGCTATAATCCATGCTCCCCAATTTCTTTTGATCTTTTCCATTTGATAACCAGACACTTGCTCATTGTCTCTCATCACCAAACATACTTTCTGTTTTCGTTTATGACTTCACTTTTGCCACCACAAATATGGCTTTAACATATGAAGCTTTTTTTTTTTTTTTTTTTTTTTTTTTTTTTTTTTTTTTTTTTTTTTTACAGCTCTCTGATGTTAACTAGCAAAGAGTAAGGACTCACAGATCAAGGGTTCAACCTCACAAGCCCACTTTTCCACTGGGACACAAATTGCCAGTCTCGTGCAGTACTTCTGGCCACACCCCTATAGGTTCTTTCACATGCTAAGCAACCCAGGCTTCCAACCCCTT